TAGATGACAGCCTAGGAAACCCTCCGGGGCAGTTCTACTCTGTCACACCAGGGGGTGCTGTGAGTGGATGATCTATAAGAGTATATATGAGTATATAGTGACACAATAGATGACAGCCTAGGAAACCCTGTGGGGCAGTTCTCCTCTGTTACACCAGGGGGCGCTGTGAGTGGATGATCTATAAGAGTATATGAGTATACAGTGACACAATGGATGACAGCCTAGGAAACCCTCTGGGACAGTTCTACTCTGTTACACATCTGTGAGTCAGAACAGATGACTTGAAGGCACAGGACACTCTGGGTCCTCTATTAAGCCTTTAGGCCAGAGGAAGAATGAAACACCAACAATCTAGGTATATATTTACATTTTAATGTCGAATGGGGACCCTGGAAAGATTTATTAAAATATCAAAGGATTCACAAAAGAAGTAGACTCCAGAGGGAAAAAATCTGCTTCATCTTTGTAAGCAGAGGAAAAACCTATTTCCCTTATCCCTCTAGTGCTAGGTAGCTGAGATGTCCATTCATGGCTACAGTGATTATCAGCATCGCTGACAAGTCCTGGTGTGGTCCTGTAGGATGAGCACTGGGCTGCTAGCTACAAGGTGGGGAGTTCAAACCCACCAACCTCTCAGAAACACTATACAGGGTCACTATGAGTCCTGGTGTGGCACTTTTGATAAGCATTAGACCACAAGTTTGGTTTGAACTGTTAGGTCGGTGGTTCAAACTCACCAGCTGCTCCTCGGAAACCCCACACAGTGTCAGGATGACTCAGAACCAACTCAATGACACTTAACAACGAAAACATGCGTGAGGACAGACTTGACAGCATTTCACAACAACGTGGTTTCTATGTCTCATGTGTCTGCCTCCTTTGTTCACAGGTGTTGTGGATTCTCTTCACAGGGCATCCACCTGACAGGGGGACTGTTCCATAGGGTTTCCTAGGCCATAGGCAGTTAAAGTCCACCAACTGCTCCTCAGAAACCCTATACCGGGTTGTTGAGAGTTGGAACCACCTCGACGGCACTGAACAACAACAACAAAACTCCTGTTACTAGTCCCATTTTACATCTTCCTTACTAACAAGGACCAATGATATTCCCTCTATGCTAATAGTGTGAATAACCTTTCTTTTCCTTTGGGTGAAACATTGTCAGGGAGATCAAGATCAAGAGAAAGAGAACACCTTGTTTTTTTAAGTCATCACAATCCAAATGTAGGACTAATCAGGGAAGACCTCTTGAGATCTTAAAAGATGGCTAAGTGTCTTGGGACAGATACAGAAATACAGTTCAAGGGTTCTCGTGTTGTTGAGTGTCATCACGTCCATGCTGACTCATGGTGACCACAAGGGTCAGGGGAGGACTGTCCCAGACTGTTCTCTAGGCTGCCATTCTTGTGGGAGCAGATCCCCAAATCTTTCTCCTGAAGAGCAGCTAGGTGGGTTCAAACCACCACCAAGCCTTTCAGTGAGCAGCCAAGTGCTTAACAACTATGCCACCAAGATCCTTCGGTTTGGCAGACACTTATTATTAAAGGTCTATTTTTATCCTTACTTTCTGTCCTCAAGGAGGTGAAAATGGGTTTTACATTTTTTTATATAATGGAAACACTTTCTTTGCCCTGTTTCCAGTTTTTTTAGAGTGCTATTTCTGTTACACTATATTGAGATGATAGCATTTGTTACTTCTTACTAAATAAAGCATGAAGACTGTATTTCCAATATGGGGGGGGGGCACTTAAAATATTTATGGACTACACATGCCAAACTTCAAGACACTATGAATCTCTTAAAGGAGGGCATGAAATAAGTGTCGAATGTGGGTATTTCCAGTCCAAGTGTATTGCTATAATTCTTAGAATATAAGAACATTCATTGACCCAATTCTTAAAAACTACTAAAAATCTCCTTCTCCAACACCAAAGAGAATACAGCAACACCATTACACTAACTGCTGCTGTTACTAAGTGCAGTCGAGTTGGTTCCCACTATGGCTTCCAAGGAGCAGCTAGTGGGTTTGAACTACCAATCTTGTGGTTCTCAGTTCAGTGCTGATTCTACAGCACCATACCAGGACTACTTCTGGTAGGAGGATCCCTGGCGGCACAATGGTTAAACGTTCAGCTGCCAGCTGAAAAGTTGGTGGTTTGAAACCACCAACTTCAGTCCATGAAGAAAGATGTGGCAGTCAGCTTCTGTAAAGATGACAGCCTAGGAAACCCTGTGGGGAAGTTCTCCTCTGTTACACCAGGGGGCGCTGTGAGTGGATGATCTATAAGAGTATATATGAGTATATAGTGACACAATAGATGACAACCTAGGAAACCCTGTGGGGCAGTTCTCCTCTGTTACACCAGGGGGCGCTGTGAGTGGATGATCTAT